TTCGCAGGTTCAGTGCTTTGTTTACTTACTGTTACTCCTCGGTACTCTCTGAGGTCAATGCTTACAGAACTTTCTAAGGGGCAGATAGATGCCGTATCATGGATTAATCATGGAGGAGAAGTTGTGGTTTGCATGGTATTATGGCATCCTGCTTGCACTGTGGTAAGAAGTAAGCTCTTCGTGCCACATCGGTGAGTTCTGAGGGCACTAATACTGATCTTTTATAGTTCCTGTAATGATTTGTTATGATACTAGATGACCTTCTGAAAGCTTCACCTTCTAGAGGCAGGTAATTTATATGAAAATTCCAGTTTCCCATTTAAAACTAAAACAAGCGTCCAGCCTTCAAGGGTGCAGAGACAGACAGGAGATGCAAACTCAGTATATCACTCAAGTCCAAAATAAAAAAAAAATCTCTTCACTGCTCCAGTACTGACTGAGCATTTAAACCCCATTTTCCCCTCTCCTCCCTTAAAAATATGGGACCCTGCTCAAGAAGTTTTGAATGGCTGAAGTTGGAAGTATTAGGGAAGACATTTTAGGTGCTTATGTATTTTCCTGAAATTCTGTTTCCACTTTTAATTTTCCCTTTTTTCACAATATTCCCACTTATTTTATCAAATTAGGGTCCTTGTCAACATTTTTTTCCATCTGAGTTTCTCAGTCCCTTTGGCTCTGCTTTTGGTCCTTCACATTGGAGCCCTGGAACATGCCTGTTCCGGACACTGAGTCTGCCCTCACTCTCAAAGTTGTCCTTTGGTTTTGAGTTTGATAGACTGGTTCTTGTATAGCTAAGATGATTGTTTTATTGATGGTTTTAGCCTGAATTTGTTTGCCAAAGAACATTTACTTGAGTTCTCATTATAAGATAAATATTGTTACGTAGTTGAGAAAGGAGAAGTATTTTGATTTTTTTGACAACTTACTATAGAAACTTACCATGTTTATCTGATTTCTTTAATTTCTTCTCAGTTTTGGTTTAATTTGTAGTTATGTTTATGGGTGGTTGAAAGTGAAAGTAAGGAACTGTGGTGAAAATACGCAAGAAAGAGCATGTAAAACATAATAGGCTGTAAGTGATGAGAGAAATGGTGGATTCTGCGGATGTTAATTTTGGCTATGTGGAATCCTTTTTTTGGTTGGAGATCATGCTTGAAGTTCATATCAGATCAGCTGTGAAAGCTGAATTGCCTTTTAGCGCGCATGGGCTTTTTGCAGAAGGTGACTTTCACCCAAATGTTTTACCACAGTTATGTTAGATTACTGGTCATCTTGTCATAATATGTAAAATACTACACTCTACTACTTAGTATGGAAAGTAGTCTGGTGGACAGGACAGTGGGCATGAGTTAAAAGATCCCATGCTTTATACTGGAGGAGAACGACTGTGGGTATCATAGACGACAGACCAGAGATGATTACGTTATGTACCTGTAAAGGTGTTAGTGATCTACAGATGAAGGGTCAGATCTTCCCATAGTAGGGGGACTGGCAGCTCTCTAGTGTGGATCTGCTCCTGGGAAATGCGTGGATGGCCACTGAGAAGCACTATGTTCGTATAGGGTACGGAGCTGGTTTAGCAGGTATAACACCTTATCTCTTCTACAGCTAGTACTGAATGAGTGCTGGAAGGGAGAAGTACATAGGTTCTTCCACGCCTGTTAGTCCTGGCTGTCATGGTACCCTCTTCAGAAGCTGAAGTGGAACAAAAAGGACATAGGAATTGAGGATTACAGGAGTGATTGAAAGCTTCCTCCTATCTTTCTAGCCCTGAATCGTTTGCCATAGTGTTCATGGAGCAGATCTGAAGCATTTTCATACATGCTTACTGTTGGTTTTATTTAGCACCTGTGTTTTTTCCTTTCCTGTGTTTTCCAGCTTGCATCTGTTTTTTGTTTTCTAAACATAACCCTGAGGTTAAATAAGTGCCAGAGATACCAGTGGGAACCTACAGTACATTATTCATTGGTGTTTATTTTTGCAGCTACAAGGTAGCTTGCATGTTTCTAAACTGCTGATAAGAAATTGTAAAAAGAAGGTAAAGGTGTACAGTAACTAAAACCATGGCTTTATTTTCATGCTAGTTATGGAGAAATACTTGCCCCCGCTTGCCCCCCAGTAAATGCTTTTCAGTTAATATCTTGAAGATTCTGGCAACATATAGTCTCTTCCAATGTTTTGTTTCCTATAGCAAATTTTATATCAGAAGTTAAAATGATTTTGTAGTCCTTGCATTTTTGAAAAAATTGACCCTAAAATATGTAACACTTCATGGCTACCCAATACTGTGCCTTAACACAAACGCCATGCGCAAACATGTCACCACTCTCAAAAGGTTAATTGATATTTCAGGATGTTGAATGTCTTCTAAGTAAACACAGCCATAGCCAAATGCACGTTCCATTTTTCTTTCAAGAAAATAAATAGTCAGACTATTTAGAAGCCTTGGGCATCATGTAATTTGTTTATCAAAACTTGTTCTTGTACAACTATATTTAAAACAGAAAAGACATATGAATCATACAGGAAAACAAAGTAATTTTAAGGTAAAGCAATATAAAAAAAAGTTATGGGTGCTGTTCAGCTATAAACTGAGGCCACCGTGCTGCCACATATATTGTATTTGTTCTGAGCCTTCTACAAACTTCTGGATAGATGTGTATTAAAAATGAAATAAAAGACATAAATTTGTATTTCTTTATTTTTGATGGTGTGTTTTTCATGGTACATATAGTTCACTGTTTATCAGCTTCAGAAGTCTCAAGTCAGGCTTCCTAGGACACTGTTCTAGTCTCTAGTGACACTGTTTTATAATCCTGGATAAGATGCTAGCCTGTTTAAGGCTGGATTTCAATACTACTGTGCTAAACTGTTTAAGCAACAGATAGAAAGTCCTTTCTAAATTGAAGAGTGTGGGATTTGAACCTTAATGACTGCAGTATGAAGAGCCATCACATTCCAGAGTTTGTTCACTGTTGACCTTACTGGCTAGATGTTTTATCAGAATAGGTTGTACTGCTCCTGTTGCCTGCTTCAGGCTGCTCCCACCACTAGCCCATAAGTCAGCATTTGGGTCCTTCTCTTTTGACCATTATCAGTTTTGGTAGGGTTCATTAACTGAACTGAACTTCTTTCTTGATTTGAAACCTAGAGTAAGGAAAGATGTTAAGATCTTTACTTAATTTTATTCATGTCTGTGGGGAGAAAAATGTTTTTCAGCTGTCATTTTGGTATAATTTGCTGGAAGATTCCAGATACTAGCCAGCTCAGGGGCTTAGCAGACTTGTCCATTAGTGCGATTGACTTGTTCACATTCACAAAATCCATTTTGGATTGTGCTTTACTTTTGAGTGTGGTAGGCAATGCCCTATTATTTTCATCAACCAAGATGTAATCTAGTTAGAGAAAATCAAATTGTTATGATTAAAAATTAATCTACTTTTAGATTTTATAAAACCTGTCTTTTAAAGTATCTTTAGTTCATAGGCTGTGGGCACACTGTTGCTGAAGCTACACTTACCACAAAATGAGCTAGACTAGATTTACAGCATTTTAGCTGTGTCCATTTGTGTTGTATGCATGCTTTCATTGGTTTGATTCCTGTTCAGACTTCCTTGTTTTTACCACAGAATGAAGCCTGAATAGGGGCATTTACTGCAGAGCAGCTAACATACTGCAGGCTGACCTGCTGAAGTTCTTCCACCTGTCTTGTTCCTACACCTGTACACAGTCGGTCTGAGACTGTCTGTGTCTTTCCATTAACTTTGTTTGGCGTTTGCTCAACTCCCTAACCATCCTGGAGTGTCAGTGGTGGTTAATAGGTCGCGATACGTAAATTTCCTTCTGGTATGCTTAGTCATACTGCTTTCGTAATTGGTACAATATCAGTGCAATAGATAAAGAAATGCAATACAACATACATTAATGTGTAAATGTAAATGGTATAGCTGCAATAAATTTTGGAAGTTCTGTCTTTGACCTGTGTGGATGGAAGATGATTCTGCCACTCACTTTATCTCCCATCTTTCATATAGAAATTACTGTCACTGTAGGAGGCAGAGCATATACTGGCTTCTTTGCTGCTCACAGTATAGTATTTCTGGGATGGCTTTGTGCTGTTGATGATTTTAGCTGAATTATTGGACTGGTAAGAGATTAACTGAGATCTGGCACGCTTTCACTTTTACCAAGTCAGCTATTTATTAGCGGAGGGGAGACACTAGATTGAAAAGAGCTTGTATGCAAATTAACATGCCAGACGGTAGGACTTTGTATTTCTACTTTCCTTTATTCAAGAAGACCAGATAGGTTATTTTGTGAAAAACTTGTAGTTCTGTTCTTGTGTACTTCATTTCTGCATGAGGTATAGTTTGATAATGTTTGAATATAATTTTTAGATTAATGATTAAAAAGCAATTTGAAATGTATTCTTGTGTAGTTTTCTATTAAAAATTTTGTTGCTCACATGCTTAACTAGTTTTTGGCTTTTTAGCAGTAACAATTTTAAAAGCAGCACAGAATTATTTTTGTCATTAACATCTGTATATGGTAGAATACCCATGAGTAGGTCTGTTGATTAAGAAATTACCATTTTTAGCTGGTTTACCGTTTATTGGTAACTTTTTACTTTTTCCTAAAAGTAAAATAAATATGAGATAAAATTGAATCTGTAACTTTGCTGATAAACTTCCACAAGGAGGGAGAAACCACCTTATTTTGGATCCTTAATTGTGTTTTATGGATTGATTCCAACAGATTTGAGGCATATGAAGTTGCTTTATTTTGGGTGGTCACAGGCAGTTTAAATGATAAATTTGGCAAGAGAGAGAAGCAAATCTGTCTTGGAGTCCAGGAGAATTTGCAGAATGTGTGTTGTACAAAAATGCTTAACATTTATGGAGCCTGACATTGTGTTCACTGACACAGACCATTCACAATATTGAAAGCTGGCCCGAGTACTTCTGTACCATCTGATTGTAATCTAAATTTGTGTGTTATAGCTTGAAACAATTGGATGGCAGCTTAATCTTCAAATGGCAGAGTCCATGCAAGCGAAGCTGAAGTCTCCTCGAGCTGTGCTAGAGCTGGGAGTGAGCAATGAAGATTCAAAGGTAAAAAATACATGCCTGGCAGAGTTGGAATGAGTTGTGGTGATGGCCTGGTGCTCGCAGTTCTGAGGCATCAGTTGGAACTTTTGATCGGTGTTAGTCTTGCCAGTGTTTTCATTTTTTTATTTCATAAAATTAGAGTAAGCACTTGGAATTGTGAAGTACTGATGTAATAGCATACGTATTGGGTAGACTGAGAGCTGTGTTACCAGCTTTTGGGGCTGTAATGTAATAGATAAATATAATGGAATATGGTTATTTTAGGTCTCAAATATCTTTGTAGGGAATTTATTTTTATCACATTGCATGTGATTGGTGGTACTTTCACTTTTAATGCCTAGTAGCTTGCAGCCTTCTACCACGGGTGTAGTTATGTAAGATATTACTCATCACTTGCAGCCTTTCTGTGCTAATGATGTATTTATATGAATGATGACATAGTATGCAAGGCCACAGAAAGCTAATATTTGGAGGTTCTAAGGTAAAGTCTGAAGTTCAAGGATTTTAGTGCCAAAAAGCACTGCTGAATGTATTTTTTTTTATTCATAAAATTGGTATCTTTTGTTAGGTATTATGTTTTAAATTAAAAACATGGATTGCTTTTAACCGTATCTTGCTAATGGAAATTGGAGTCTTTACTTCTGTGGTGTCTGTCAAAATGTTTATCTATGAAAAAGTCAGTATAAAAGATTTAAAGGGAAAAATCAGAAGTCAGTTCTGCTTTACCATTGCGTTTAAATCACAGTAATTTTACTAATGTGAGTGGAGTTTCTGATTTATGGTAGGATAAAAGAATACACAGCTTATATTTGTGCTTCTCACCAGGACTTGCAGTAGTTCTATTTTTTTTTTCAGCAGTTCACAGCAATCTATATTTTTGAAATGCAAATACAGAAACCAGACTATATTTTATGTCCAAGCTGCATTGGACAGCACAGCATACAGATTCAATTCTGTGGCAAAACAACTTCTTAAAAAATGAGGAAAAAATGTCACTTTTATATGACACAGGAAGTTCGTCTGTTTCCTTTACAAACAGAATTCAGCCAGTGGATTTTTTTGATTGTTTCCTCTCTATTTCACTTTGTGGGCATAATTAGATACCAAGATCAGAATTATTTTGCAATAATTACAAGCCTAGAATAGACTTGTAACTGGCATTTAGATAGAACAGTGCAACAAGAAGAACGTACTGATGCTCTCATAATACAGGGACTAAAACTTAAAAATCTGTGTTGGTGTGAAAATAACTACAGGTTTGTTTTTCTGAATTACTGCATTCTAATACAGAATAGGTTTAAGATTGGCTAGTGTCTGCTTATATACTGACAGAAGCATTGGAACATAATTGTTGTGCTGTATTTTGCATCTTCATGATCTCTTTGTGCACTAAGTATTAAGTTATGTGAAAATCCTAGATACCAGCTAGTTGTTATTTTTTTTTTCCTCCCCAGACCTAATGTGTTTGCCTTTTGTGCAGAAATTTGGCATGAATTTAGCGTATATGTTCTTAATAATAGTCTTAATTTCTTACAAAACTTTTCCTTTTTTTTTTTTAATCCATGAATATAACAAGCTGAATTTTTTAAGGTAGGACACGAACGCCGTTACCGAGGCGTTTTTGTGGGCTGGCACATTAGGGGGCAGTAGTGCTCTTTGTCACACGGGCCATTCGAATGCTTTTTTGAGGGAATTCTGAACTCAGTCCTTGTGGCAAGTGTTAAGTGTTTACATTTCTAATCTGTATATAACAATAGAAGTTTGTCTTGCTCATCTACTAAACTAAAGCCTATTAATAAAAAAGGCATACTGAGAAAGGTAAATGAAATTGGCTGTTACTTCCGCTTTTGCTAACTAATAGTACTAATACATTAGTGTTTACTACCACTCACTCCACTTAAAGATAATATAAAAAATTATTTGTCAGAAGACATTTAAAATTAATATTTAAATTATCTCTCCAGGAGAGGTAGTCAGAAAGCCTATGGATATATGAACGTTATTTGTGCTTAATAAAAAAAGTCAGAAGATCTGCTATATGCTATATAAATATTTATAGAGTATATTTTGACAGCTTCAGATGAAATGCAGAGATCCGCAGGTACTATACCATCAAAATTCAGAAGTAAGGTGGTCTTTGGTTCTTTGAAGTGATTCAAGCTGCTAGTGACATTTGCATTGCCCATGAAATCTTATCCTGGGCTGCATCACGAGAAGTGTGGCCAGCAGGTTGAGGGAAGGCATTCTCGCCCTCTACTCTGCTCTCGGGATCCCACCTGCAGTGCCATCTCCAGCTCTGGGGCCTCCAACACAAGGAAGACATGCGCCTGCTCAAGCAGGTCCGGAGGAGGCCATGAAGATGATCGGGGGCTGGAGCACCTCCTGTATGAGGACAGTCTGAGAGAGTTGGGTTTATTCAGCCTGGAGAAGAAAAGGCTCCAGGGAGAACTTATAGCGGCCTTCCAGTACTTAAAGGGGGCTACTGGAAAGCTGGGGAGGGACTCTTTATCAGGGGGTGTAGTGATAGAATGAGGGGTAACAGTTTTAAACTGAAAGTGGGTAGATTTAGATTAGATGTAAGGAAGAAATTCTTCCCTGTGTGGGTGGTGAGGCGCTGGCCCAGGGTGCCCAGAGCAGCTGTGGCTGCCCCCTCCCTGGAAGGGCTCAAGGCCAGGCTGGACGGGGCTTTGGGCAACCTGGGCTGGTGGAAGGTGTCCCTGCCCGTGGCTGGGGCGTTGGAACTGGATGGTCTTTAAGGTCCCTTCCAACCCAAACCATTCTATGAAATACGCTGCTTGTGACTCGTAATAGTTGTGATCAGATCACATTATTTTTGGTAAACTGTTTTCTACAAATTTGCAGTTTGGTTTGTCTCAGACTTTGAATTATGCTTGATTTGGATCTAACAAATATTTTTCATATGCCATGAAATTTTTTTCACTATGGGGGTGATTAAGTATGGGAATGGATTATCTGGAGAGTTTGCACAGTTGCCAGCGTTGATGATACCTGGGAGTCAATGGGACAAGTCCCTGAGCATCCTAACCAAAGTGTGGAGTAAGTCCCTCTGTGAGCAGAGGGGTGGATCAGGTGGGCTGCCAAAATGTGCATTCCAGCCCAAGTTGTCTGTCATCTAGGCGGCTTTGCATCTTGGTTGCTGATGGTGTTTTGTGTGACAAGACAAAAAAAGGAGCTTTCAATAATAACCCAATTAACATCAGGTTCTTAGAATGATTCAGAATTTGAAATGTTTAATTGCATTTCTAAATCCGAGGGAAGTGGAATTTCTATGAACTAGGCACACAAAACAAGCTGGTATGATAGGAAACATCTTCTTGAACTGAAAGATTCTTTTGCTTCCATTCTGTCATTTTAACGAGCTAAGGTGACATTTAGAACTGATGTGTAAGATAGCGGCTGTGCATAAGAGTTTTCTTTAATAATATGATTTGGGTTTAGATTTTTTGGGCCGTCGAGTTGCAACACAACAATCTGGGGATTTTTTTACAGGCTATTATTATTTTTATAGCTATAGGGTGAATTAACCAGTAGAGGGAGCACAAATTAACAATCTTAATAATCTGTGCTGCTAATTATGATTTTGATTTGCAAACAAAGATTGATCCCAAAAAGTGCTACGTTTATTTAATACATATTTCCTTCAGTAAATTATTTAATAATTATCCTCATAGGCACACACTCGCACATTGTTTCTCATCATTAATAGCAGGTCTAGACCTTTCTAAAGAACTGTGATCATTTTCTAGAACTACAGGAGCCGTGTAAAAAAAATTGTAAACAAGGTATGAGGGCTTCAGAAATGTTGTATCATTGGTGTGAAATATATCTGCAGAGGAATGGGAGAAGTAAGAGTGTGTTCTAAAAGAGTTTCTGCGATGCTGCTTCACTCAGAAGATTCATTCAGGCACATTTCTATAAAAGGTATTTATTATTGTGTATTTTTACACATGATCAGTAGTTAACATTTATGCTTGGAAATTGTTAGGATAAATAAACTATTTCTGCCCAGTGTTGTCTCTCGATAGTTATCCAATTTTTTTCTGTAAATCCATTCCACAGATTTCATTAGATTCAGTTATCTAATTACAGTTTGCCCTGTGGAAGGCTTTGTTCTTTTCTTAGTTCTCCTTCTCTTTATTTCATCTATGATTTTATTCTTAATCATTAAGGACTTCTTGGAAGAGCTCTTCTTTTTCAGTATGAATGCTATGTATAGATTCCCTGTAAGAATTCAATACTTTGTTTATTTTGTTCCTTCTTTATATGTGTATTTTAGGAATTTTATTACAGGATTTTGTCTGCCAATGCGAGACAAAAAATAACTGGTAAATGTGCTGGTTTGTTAAACCTGCTAATGTAATACTTTCAACAAAACACAGATAATATGAAAATGTTACTGTTCTGATTTAATTTTATTTCCACTTTCAACAAAACACAGATAATATTAAAATGTTACTATTCTGATTTAATTTTATTTCCTTTTAATTAATTACCCCTAACTTCTAGATAATTTAAAAGGGGAATATAGCAATGGAAATATTCTAAACTATTTTTTTCTGCAACCGTTTGTTCAAAATGAAAATGGGGCCTGACTGCATTTGAAACTGAGCTCATAATACATATTCATCATTCTGCAAAGTAAATAAATAGAAGTCTAGAAATTTTAAATTATTATATTTCACTTGTTAAAATAATAGGTCATGGTTTTCTTCTTTTTTCCTCCTAGTTTTTATAGGTTTTTACATTTCTATGCATTTCTGGACTGTGAAAAAACCTAAGACATTTTTCTCTGTTTACTTCAGTAAGCATGCCATTCTGCTTTCTGATTTTGCCATTGTGAATACTTTCCCCATCTTTAACAGCAAAGCAGAGTAGATGAGAAACAAAGCTTTTCTTCCACTGGAGCTAGATAAGTCACTCAATTCAGGGTGTACATTCTGTTCAGCCTGTATGGCATGCAGGCAGGACCAGCACTTGGGTGG